CACCACATGATTATTTTTTAATTGGACATTCAGAGTGGAGATATTGGAGGGAGCAATACCCGTTCTCGTAACCGGGATAGAGATGCTACTGATGACGACGAGAGTTGAGGTTTTTTATTTTTGTTAATGCAATAAACAGTTTTATTTGTTATAACACTCTACTTTTATTCATGTTGTGTACCCTATCTTAATCATGTGTATTGTTAGTGAACATGTGGTTGGATGTATATATTGGTCCGAATTGATTGATGTATATTTTGGATTGGATGGTTGGATATGTGTATTGTGTATGATGAAATTGTTGGATATGTGCATTGGATGGTTTGATTATATTTGGTTATTAATGTAACTGTTATGAATTTTGATTATATTTGGATGATTAGATGTATTCATGTGTATAATGTAATTCTATAGGAAATTGAAAATTTTAAATAATTTTTTTTGCTGTAAAAATATCAAACTAGACGGAATTTCCGTCTAGGTTGCCATAACCTAGACAGAAATCCGTCTAGGTCGGTTTTACTACAACCTAGACGGAAAACTGTCTAGGTTGCTCCAACCTAGACGGTTTTCCGTCTAGGTTAGAACAACCTAGATGGTTTTTCGTCTAGGTTGGAGTAACCTAGACGGTTTTCCGTCTAGATTGGCAACCTAGACGGAAAACCGTCTAGATTGCCAACCTAGACGGAATTCCGTCTAGGTTAGCAATTTAGACGGAATTTCGTCTAGGTTGCCAATCTAGACGGAAATTACATAACCGTCTATATTGCTTTATGTCTAGATTGACAACCTAGACGGAATTCCGTCTAGTTTGTGTCAATCTAGATGGAAATATTCTAGACGGAGCAAACTAGATGGATTTCCGTCTAAGTAAACAATCTAGACAGAACTTAGAGAAACCTAGACGAAAATTTCCGTCTAGATTGCTCATTTTTCTACTAGTGACTGTAACATCAAAATGATAATACAATTAGCCTAATGAATTCCTATTCATGCCCCTACTTTATGATATTTAACATCATAGATTTTTTTGATACAATGTGTTTTCAAATTATACCGTGAAGTACATTTAGGGGGTTGAATTTTAAAAATATTTAATCTAATGAGATTTTAGCATACATTTGTTCATTTTAGTCTTTTTATAATACATTTTAAAATTTGAGTGATCCTAATGTCTCCAAAAAGAAAACTAATCACCAATTGATTGTAACAATTTAAATTATACTGCATCGTTGGCGCTCACACCGGGTCCAGCCCGACTCGGTCGTAAAAACGGCCGAGCCAGGGTAGTCGGGTCGGGTCGGCCCGTGGCCTGACCCTGGCCAAATGATCACATAAGTGATCGTTTCCCGGAAAATGTCGGGCCGGGCTGACCCGGCCGTAATAGTCATTTTTGGCCTTTTGACCATTTTGCCCCAAAAAACGGTCAAAAAGGTAAAAATTTAAGGGTATTTTGATCATTTTCTAGGAGGCTGCCTCTGTAAATAGAGGGGATTTCACTTGTTTTTTTCATCCAAAACTCATCTACTTCTCTCTAATACTCTCTTATACTCTCTAATAATAGTTTTAGCTCTCTAATTATTCAATCAAATGGCTTCCTCGTCTGATTATGAAGGGAAAAAACCAACTCCCGAAATGAGTCCTCCTACTACAGGAGGTACATCTACTCCTCCTACTTCTACCGATGTTGATGCTGAATTCGGTGGCGACAATTCTATTACACCAAGAGCTCCTAAAAGGTCAAGATTCGATGCGTGGAATATTTTTGAGAAGATAGACGTCACCAGAGATAAACATGGTAGGCTACTCACCTAGAAAGCTAAGTGTGCGTTGTGCGGTCATATTTTTCAAGCTCATCATAAGAGCGGCACCAACCACCTCAAACGTCATTTAGATAAACATAATAAATGTCATACTCCTCAATGTGATATTCGACAATCTATGCTCTCCTAATCCTTATCTTCTGATAGTCTCGGTAGTTAGAATTATGACGCAACCCGAGCCAGAAAATGTGTTATCAGGTTTATCATTCTTAAAAATCTTTCTTTTAAATTAGTAGAAGATGATGTATTTGAAGATTTATTTACAGATGGTTTACCCCGTATTTAAAAAAATTTCTCGTCAAATTTGTCAACGTGATATTTTAAAATATTATCAGGAGGAACAATGAAAAATAATTTCTTATTTTCAAAGTTTAAACTTCTTATATTTGGACATCTAAAGCACAAACTGGTTATTTATGTATCACAACACACTGGATTGATGAAAATTAGAAAATGTTTAAAAGGGTTATTTCCTTTATTACAATTGAAGAGTCACATACTAGTATTAATGTTACAAATTTAATAACTGAAGAACTTTTAAAATTAGAAATATCAGAAAGAACATTTTTTCTTTTACTAGATAATGCAAGTAATAATAATAATATAGCTGTTGATTTTATCAAAACATCTCTATCATTACCATGTCATGGTGACCTTTTTCATATTAGATGTATATGTCATATTTTAAATTCAATTATTCAAAGTGCATTTGGTGAAATTAAACCCATGATAGAAAATGTTAGGTTAGTAACTTATGTTCGTAATGATTCTAAATAAAGAATTAGAAGATGGAAACAATTCTGTAAAAGAAAAAAGGTAAAACTCAGACTAATTCTAAAAGATGTTGATCATAGGTAGAATTCCACCTATGCAATGTTAAGTGTAGCAATAGAATATAAAAAAATTATAAATAATTTTATTGTTTTTTATACTTCTAGTTCTAGCTCTGGTAGCATGTATGGAATAACTGAAGATGAATTGACAGTTATAAGTAATTTAAAAGAGATGTTATAAGTTTTTTATGATGCTACATTATTGTTCAAAGTGCTATTCACCTTGCTAAGAATCTAGTATATCATGCCAGAACAAAGTACATCGACGTGCGTTACCACTTCATACGCTCACTGATAGAGGAATGGAAGTTACTATTGGAGAAAATTTTGGGGAGCCAAAATCCTACAAATATATTGATTAAAGCAATGATCATCAAAAAATTAGAGTTATGCCTAACTTCAGTTAGCCTTCACGCGTTGGAGATTAGGGAGGGACCACACTAGGAGGACATGTGGGATCACCGAGATTAATATTGATTGAAGAATAAAATTTTTAGGGGAGGAGAAGATGTTTGCGAAGATGACTGAAGTTCGGGAGAACTTGTTGATGGAGGTTTGGTCTCCAAGTGGAAGATTGTTGGTTTTGGGAGTGTAGACTCAAACCTGGTACAAAATCAAAAGCTGAAAAAACACAGATCGGTCGACCGAAGGGAACATCAGCCGATCGATTTGAACTTCAGGAAAATAGGAAAGTTTCTGTTCGGTCGAGCAATACGAATTATCAGTCGACCAATAACGTGCACGAGCAGTCCTGAGAAAAAACACCTTCTGATCGGTCAACTGACACCAAGCGATCGGTGAACCGATAGCGATTTTTCTAGTTTCTGGCCCGTTTGAAAACCTGTTTGAGTTAGGATTATATATATATATATATATATATATATATTGTATGTATACGAAAAAGAGAGGGTTTTGAAAACACTTTGAGATCAGAGATCTTAGAGAGAGTGTGGCTATTGCAAGCTTTGTAATCTTCTTCAATAATCAAAGAATTTTTTGTGTCGTTCCCGAGAACGTAGACACGTTTGTCGAACCTTGTTAAATCTGATGTTCTCTCTTTTATTTATTATTTCCTGCAAGTTTTTCGATTCGCTGTGATTTCTTGCTTGCTAATTGTTCGTCACAAGATCCGGAGGGCACAGGTTGTCGATTGTTCAACCCCAACATTCAAGACCCTCAAATGTCCATAAATAATTCGTGCCCATAATATCAAGGGTGACAAATTCAAACATCGTGAGCTTTATCATATTGACAAGTATTATAAGGAGAGAAAAAAATATAGAAATCGTGTTAGATAATAAAAATCCATCCTTGTATGTAATAAACAAAATAGTAATAAAGAATGAAAATTAGATGAGAGCGATTAGAAATCAACATTGGTATTTCTTACTCATGGGGAAAACCTTCAACTAAATGAGAAGGGAGAACTTCTAACTTGAAGAGCAAACTCATGCTGATTACGTATTCTAAATTAAGTAAATAAAAGAGCAATGCCACAATAGAGAAACAAGATATTTGAGAGATAACTTTTTTTTGTACAACTGCACCTTTGTTTATACATAGTTTGAACCTCCAAATAAGGCTTCTTTGCATGACGATAATCAAGACATTAATAGTACAATCAATTCATGAACAAAACCAGGCACGAAATGCCATGCGAAGCTATACAGAGATCAATAAAGATATTATGATAAAATTCAAATTGATATCTTGCCACATGAGTCTTTGGACATTCATTTCATAACAGTAGTTTCTCTTCAGTCCTCAGCTCACAATAATGCAATACTTTCCTTCAAGACTGAAGTTTCTAGTTTGGTTAAATCTATTCCTTTTAAATCCTTTTTAATTGTACGCTAGATCTTATCCAAAACTTTCCTACCTAACGGTCCCAACGCTTGTCAAGGCTTGGATTGGGTTTTTGGATCCCCTGTCCACACGAAAGAAGAATCTGACGCTTTGCAGAAAACCACCTCCGCAAGTTTCCTCACTTCATGTCACTTTCTGGTTTTTGCTTCTTCCCTTAATAAAACAAGATGAGCTTGTTCTCTCTTAGATAAAAACTAGTGTGTACACCGTGCAAAGCACAACATCCATTTTTTTCCGTTACGGTAATTATGTATTTAAATACAATATTTATAAGTGCTAAATTAACATTTTAAATGCTACAGTATCCGTCCCGAGTCATAGTAATGATGCTATATTTTTTGGTCAATGAAAATATTCATTCATTTTACCATTATGAAATGATTTGTACATCAAATTACCAGTAAACAGCCTGGTAGTCAAAACTGAAATGAATCAATTTACCAGTAAACAGCCTGGTAATCAAAACAGAAATGAAAATTTACATTTTCTCAATTCTATCTTTCATATGAACAGGTATAGATTCATTCAAAATTTTTGAGAAGATGGAAACTTTGATTACTCGGAATAGGATACTTGGCTCTCTAGCTTTTCCTTGAAATATTCTTAAATTCATTTCTTGCCATATCATATATATTGTAACTGAGAGTGCCATCCTCTTCATCATCTTCAAGAATCCCTTCCCCCTCAAGTTAGAAGAAAACCAGTTAAGGACTTGAGTCCAATCACATGATTTCCATGGAAAATTCATCCAATCCATCACTTCATTCAAAATTTCAGCAGCATACTGACACTCAAAGAATAGGTGTTTAGTTGTTTCAGGTTGGCTTCTAGAACAGAGAACACATCGGTTTTTTTCACTCTCCAAAATACCCATACGGCACAATCTGTCCATAGTGAGGAGTCTGGAGTGGCAAGCTAACCATAGAACAAAAGAATGCTTAGGATATTGATATCCTTTCCACACTGTGTCAGACCAACCCACTAGAGAGGAAGACTGAATTAAAGCATAGTACACAGAGGATAAATGAACTTTACCATTTGTACAGCAGTCATACATGAATCTGTGCAAGTTATCTTCATTTCCAAATCTTTCAAGGACCAAATTTCTAACTTTGAGAAGCTGTTTCCACATCCATGAATCATTCACTTTACTTTGAATTTGCCAAATATTCAGATTTTGTAAGTAGTTACCATGTATCCATTTGATCCATAACCAATCTTTTTTCAAGTGTATCATCCATAAGAGTTTAGTTGCAGCAGCAAAATTCCAAGCCTTAGCTGAGAATAGACCCAGACCTCCATTCTTCTTGCTTTGACAGATAGTATTCCAGGATATCAAATGAATCTTATGCCCCCAAAGGAAATCGGAGCACAGTTTATCTATTTTTTCCTGGGCTTTGAATGGTAGAATATAGTTACTGATCCAGTAAGTTTGAATTCCCAGGATAGTTGATTTTATAAGTTGAAGCCTTCCTGCATAAGATAACTGTCTTTGATGTTGCCAGGATTGAAATTTATTTGATATCTTGTCAATGAGAGTAGAACAGTCAAGGTATGAGAGCCTCTTAGCATTGAGTGGAAGACCCAAGTATTTCATTGGCAAGCTACCCTCCGAGAAGCCCAGGTAGCTGCAAATATGATTTTTCAAGCTTTCATCAATTCCACCAAAATACACTGAGCATTTGCTAGTATTAGCTTCCATCCCAGAGACCTGACAGAACTCCTGAAAACATGAGTATAATCTAGTGATAGAATTCAAGTCTTCTTTACTAAAAGAAGTAAATCATCCGCAAAGATCAAATGTGTGATTTTTAGCTTGGAACATTTAGGATGATACTTGAAGTTCCTGTCATTCTGCAGAGAGCTCAGTTTCCTTGAAAAATATTCCATACCCAAGACAAATAGGTAGGGGGATAAGGGGTCTCCTTGCCTTAATCCTCTAGCTCCATGAAAGTAACCATGTAGTGAACCATTAAGAGATAGAGAGAATTTAGAGGATGTTATGCATTCCATTATCCAGCAAACCACAATACTTGGAAAACCCAGACCAGACAGCATATCTTTTAAGAAATTCCAGTTTATAGTGTCAAAGGCTTTTCTTAAGTCAACATTTAGCATGGCTCTAGGGGATATGTGTTTTCTTAATGTTTTTGAATGTTACATTTTCCTATCTGTGCTACAGTAATTTATTATAACATAAATCCCGTTTGTACCACAACAAGTATACAACAGTAATTTACTGTAGTATTTACTGTAGCATGAATAGTGGACCTGAGCCTCCTATTATTATTATAGAGGAATAGATGTGAATTACAGGACAAATTTTGATGCTTATCTGACATAGTGTTGGTCAAAATTCTCAACATTCGTTCTTTCCATTTGCTATTATCTCAATCATCAACAAAAGAATATAAAAGTTAATCAAAACTTTCTATCACAATCCATTACTTTTTTTAATTCTTTCCACTGGTGAGAAACTCTATCCATACAGAATTGGGATCTTTGCCACTTTAAAAAAAAAAGCAGCAAATAGACTGTTACTCCTAATCACAACCATTTATTAATATTAATCACTGCATAATTCCAGCATTTTGTCATTTCCGTGCGACTTATGCTCACGTCCACTCTAAATTTGTTCAGAACAAATATCAACCATTTACTTAGTAACAAACATTAATGGACAAATATTCTTTCGTGACCGCAAAATAGTTAATTTCATACATACTTCACGTGTACATCTCAAGCTAATACGTACCACTTGTCTCTAACAAAGCAAAGGGCGTGCCAAATCTCAACAAAATACATCCATAGTAACATATAAGCATAAGGTGATCATTTTAGTGCATGCAGGTGTACACAACCTCCATGTATATGTAGCTTTAGCTTTTTAATTGTCACCAGTTCTCCTTCCTGAACCTCTCTTGAACACTAGATATGTAGCTGGCAGCCCTCACGTCCACCTCGCTCAGGGTCATCTCCTCCACTTTCTTCGGCTTCGACGAGGGAACAGCATAGCTATCGTGTTCCCCTCCAATAAAGCCAAGTGAAGCGGAGGAAGGAGGAGGTGAAGGGTTCACCTTACAGCTCAACTGTTGAACGGAGGGCTTTGGTGCTCTGTTGAAGTAGATCGTGGTCAGCGTCCCTCTGATTCCTCCTCTCCTCTTTCTGTTAACTGACTCCATTAATTAATTCTCTCTCTTTTATGGTTGCTCTTCTGTTTAATGGTTGCGGAACGATCGATGCTGGTGATGGAGGAGGGCTGCTCAGGTGAGGGGCATTTATAGTGTAAGTGAATGCTATGGATAATGTTGTTCATGTTTTCGAGAAGCCTATCAATCTGACAACTTGTTGTTGTGATAAAGAAAAATATCTGATAGGTTGAGAATCTTGATCGATTTTACTTTTGTACAAAATGTTGATATATTCTGTCTAGTGTAGTCCTTTTCATGTTATATATGGTCTCAATATTTTATTATAAAGATTAAACTCTAGAAATGCGTCTCATGATCTACTTTATTAGCACTTTCATTTTTGCATTTTTTTTTTAAAAATTGCTCAGACTGTATTATTGTTCTGTTATAGGTTGAATTGTAAATTGAAACTGGATCATGTGATGATAAACTGCTTTTTTGCCTCAGCGGATCTGAAAGAAAACTAAATCGACCGGTAAATTCAGGGCAAATCTATGGTCACATGATGTACATTGTCAGCTCAACCTAATATGAAAATAATGTCGTACTAAATTCATGGAAGTTAGTGCTAAATGAAGTAGTTTATTAGGTATAAGTAGCAATTTTCAGAGTATAGGAATGTTTATGCAATTAATGTTGCGCGTCTACGCGGAAGCGTGCTCGCACGCCAAACGAATCTGTGACCATGGAAGAAGAGAACCAACTACACACGTGCACAATTCAAACTAAATACTACAAATCAAACCAAATACAGAGATATACGTGGTTCGGCAATTTGCATACGTCCACGGGGAGAGGATGAGGAATTTCCACTAAATCAAGGAGAGTACAAAGGGTTATAATCTCACAAAATCACTCACATAAACCTTAAACCAAATCTTTCATCTTGCTCACAAGTTCTCCCTCTCAATATACTCAGTACAATCTAAAATCTCTGTTAGAACTCTCCTCACATAACCCTAGAAACAAGTGTTTCAATATATATCAAAACACAAACCCAATGCGAACAGGAAACTAAATTCAGGCCCAGCCCGACTCGCGGTAGACCGCAGAGCCACGTGCGGTCGACCAGATACAACGACAGAAACTCAATATCACTACAGGGTTTGGCCGGTCGACCGCCAAGCACTAACGTTCGACCATGAAAAGTTTAGAGATTTTTCCAGCTTACGTGCACGTTTGTGGTCGACCGTTGCGCCACTCGCGGTCGACCGCTGGAAGTCCAAACATGTTTTCTGCTATTTTTCCTGCATTCTCTTCAATTCTCCACCTTGGTGAACTTTTTCCAAAATTGAGCCCAAACAAAGAGCACCAATGCGTCGTCTCTCCAAAATCGGTTGCACCAATATGGTTACCTACGTACCCCCTCTCTCAAGGGATCAAGCCGCCCGTAGTTCATCCAAATGGTCGTCAACGGCCTCAACAATCACGAATATGCAACAAGTTTCGACAATAATCAAACTTGTTGCTCGGAACCACCATAGTGAGCATATTCGTCGGATTATCTTTCGTATGGACCTTCACAATCTCCACATCTCCATCTTCAAGAACATCCCAAACGAAGTGATAACGAACGTCAATGTGCTTCGTACTCGCATGAAAAACCTGATTATTTACCAAATAGATAGCACTCTTACTATCATAATGAATAGTGACGAACCGCTACGATAAACCAAGTTCCTTCAAAAGTTCTTGAAGCTAAATAGCCTCCTTCACAGCCTCCGTAATCGCCATATACTCTGCCTCCGTCGTTGACAAAGCCACTATATACTGTGAGGTGCATCTCCAACACACCGACGCATGGGTCAAAGTGAACACATACCCCATCGTAGATCGGTGTTTATCCAAATCCTCGGTATAATCTGAATCAACATAGCCAATGCACGACCACCCACCTGTAGTGTCCTGCTCATAAACCAAACTAACATTGAGTGTACCTTGAATGTACCTCAAAATCCATCTCACGGTGTCCTAATGACCCACTCCTAGGTCGTGCATGTATCTCGAAACCATGCTCACTACCTGTGATAAATTTGGCCTCGTACATACCATCGCGTACATCAAGCTCCCAACCGCGTTCGCATATGGAGTCTTCGACATCAACTCTCGATCTTCAACTGTCTTCGGTGAAAGGTCAGCTGAAAGCTTCAAATGGGCTCCCAAAGGTACACTAACTGGATTTGTATCCATGTTGACATGAAATCGCTGTAGAACATTCTTCAAATAAGCCACATGTGTCATACAAATTCTGCCCTTCTCTTTGTCTCTGCCAATCTTCATCCCTAAAATGCGCTTAGCCTCACCCAAATCCTTCATCTCAAACTTTTTTGAAACCTGTGCCTTCAACTCATCTATAGAAGACCTGGAAATAGAGGCAACCAACATGTCATCAACATAGAGCAACAAATAGATATACGCACCTCCTTTCAACTTATGAAAATACACGCAATGATCAAACTGGATCCGAGTGTACGAATGACCAAGTATAAAACTATCGAATCGCCTATACCACTGTCGATGAGACTGCTTCAAATCGTATAGCGATTTCTTCAATCATAACGATTTCTTCAACCTGTAAACCAGGTTTTCCTTCCCTGCAGCTCGGAATCTCAATGGCTGAGTCATATATACTTCTTCATTAAGATCTCCATGAAGAACTGTCATCTTCACATCCAACTGATCTAACTCCAATTCATACTGTTCCACCAAAGGTAGCAAAATTCGAATCAAAGAATATTTTACCACCGGAGAGAAAACCTCATTATAATCAATACCTTCCTCCTGTGCATAACCCTTCATAACCAACCTAACCTTGAACCTCAATGGAGTGCCATCAATGCCCTCCTTCTTCATGTATACCCACTTGCAACCAATTGCCTTCCGCCCCTTTAGAAGCTCAATAATCTCACACGTATCGTTCTTGTGAAGAGACTACATCTTCTCCTGCATAGCCACCTGCCACAAATCAACCTCCAAACTCTGTTCAGCCTCTATGAATGTAGTAGGCACCAACTCATCAATACTCTCTACTGAAAGTGTATATGCAACTACTGTGTCAATATACCATGCTAGCATCTGTATGTCTCTCCTCTATCTCCAAACCGTAATAGAATCCTAAACCTGGGTCGTCGGTCCCTGATCCTGCACAATTATACCCGTATCCTCCTCCTCATTGTTGTGCTCGCCTGGTGTCATCTCAGTCAGTACTCTAATGGATACTGTACATTCTGGATAATGTGGAGTTGTATCAATCTTCACCACCTGCGATATCTTCTCTGTCGGGTCGCTCTCTACCTAATGAGAGTTGGAAAGCTTTAAGATAGAAGCCTCATCGAATGTGACGTCCCTACTCAGCATAATCTTCCTATTAACTAGATCCCAAAGCTTGTATCCCTTGACACCATGCTTGAATCCTACAAATATGGCATTCCTAGCTCGAGGTTCCAATTTATTAGTTTTCACATGATAGTATGTTGGGCATCCAAATACCTTGAGATGATCATAATTGTGT